AATCTGAACGGCAACACGCCCATGTCATTGTATCGTAGAATATAGATGACCAACAAACACACGACATATCTCATCAACCAAGTGTAGAAACAGAGTAATTTACACCAAAGATAATAACATTCAAATAGTAACTTGAAACTAGAAATGCCTTTATTCATGCAAGTCAATTTAACAATTACTCTCTCGTTTACACTTGGCTTATTCTCACTAAACTGAGCAATATCTTTCGTCTTTTCAAACGAACTGATACTACCATAGTCATTGCACAAGATACTTGAGTTGATGGGTGTCTGTTTCATTGTGGATGACAGCACCAACAACGACTGACTGATATCAGTTGATGAAGTTAGCGGTGGATCAAAAGCTGTTGTTGCTCGGCTGTCAGAAATTTGTCTACCTGCAAGACCACCACCACTGCTGTCTTTTACTATCAGCTCAGGTTTAGCAATAGCATCTGATGATAGGTGGGCTACATGCTGATCAAACACACTGACGGTCTCACAAGTATGTATGCCTTCTTGAACTGCATCTGCATTTATGTCTACTTCACGTTGTAGTTGTACAGAACCTTTATTTAACTTAGCAGTAGTAGGCATATCCCTCATCTCATCATGAAAAACCAAAGACAAATGTGAAGTATCATGATCATTATCACAAATTTTCAATTTACCATCATCTATCTGGTCGACTTCATCATTTTCAAACTCTTTAATAACAGAAGTAGACAATTTTGGTTCCTTCTCACAAATCCCTGGAGATTTCATACCTTCACTCCGACTAGTAATACCTTGTAAACTTGTAGGGTCAGAACTGCACTCTGAAGCAGTAAATCTATTCTGTGACACTCTATTTAACAATGGCTTACCAGTTGCAACTACAGACTTCTTCACAATACCGTTATCGTCACACAATTCGGAGTCAGACCTGGAATTAACATTTAGCTTATCACTGAACTTGCTCACTGGTTCACAGTTCACCTTTGTATGCACCTCTTGCAAACGTGTACAAAACAACCGTGTTTGTCTTGCATCTTGTAACTTATCTGTTGAGCATGTACTACGAAACCTGTTACACTCACTGGATCTATATGCATTACTAGACACCACAGAGGCTTCTCGATATCCACCTCTCTGAGGCCTATTCGTCATCAATGATTCGGTTTTGCCCTCACACTGCTCTATTCTAGGGGTGAGATTTAATAGACTGGAAAACTTGCTCATAGATTGATTGACGCTATCTTTTACCAGTTTCAGGATATCATCAAATTTTGGCTCGATACTCTCATCCTCCATACGGGAGCTTATCTTCACCCACTTCCTCTGCAGTCGAGTAGGTAGGCGTCTTGCTATTACTTCTAGTGTGGTGATAGCAGGCCGTGAGTAAATATGTACAAGGCTGATTTAACAACCAATCACAGTAAAGTTAACGTGGCAAAATATGATTGGCAGATAGAGAACTCTATTTGTCGAGGAATCCCTAAACAACCAATCCGAAGCCTGCGTTTGTCTGCCTAACTTCTGATAAACAACCAATCAGATGACTGCGCTTGTCTACTTGCATAAGCTATAATAATGTATGTGAAATATGTATAAATACGTGTTGATTTTCATAATAAAACGAACTGTTGCCTGGCCCTTGTCTACTGTTGTTACATATGGTGTCGCTGCCTACCGACAAATGGAAAGCCTATGTCCTGCAGTTATTGATGGAGACATATGGATCTTCGGGCAGGACTTCAAGGCTTCTGCGCAGTTGAGTGGCGTTCAAGATCTGTCAGCGACGGAGCTGCTACTTGGAACGCTGCTGGGAGGTCGGGCGAAAGCAGTATATGAAAGTGTGAGCCGAAATAACGACGAATGTTCGACAGGGTCAGGCAAACAGTTTCCAAAGTGGGTGGGACCACATATGGTCAGGTCGAGATGGGGTTACGCAGACACAGTCTCAATAGCGAACAATGAGAGGCGCGTGAACGTCAGCGAGCTCCAGAAATGGATACAGCGAGACAAGCCAACGATGACGCCTGTACCAAGAAGATCAAGCAGACTTCGGTCGCAAGTCTTTGACGGGGGGACGAGTGTGGTGATAGCAGGCCGTGAGAAAATATGTACAAGGCTGATTTAACAACCAATCACAGTAAAGTTAACGTGGCAAAATATGATTGGCAGATAGAGAACTCTATTTGTCGAGGAATCCCTAAACAACCAATCCGAAGCCTGCGTTTGTCTGCCTAACTTCTGATAAACAACCAATCAGATGACTGCGCTTGTCTACTTGCATAAGCTATAATAATGTATGTGAAATATGTATAAATACGTGTTGATTTTCATAATAAAACGATCTGTTGCCTGGCCCTTGTCTTCTGTTGTTACACTAGTATGAAACTCGAGTTGAGGTCACTCATGCAATTCATAGAAATCAAGTCATTCTTATAAGTCATAAGATTATCTAAAAACTCAGTGAGTGCCTGGGAGTCATCCTGTAATTGACCACCATTTCCCTTAACAGCCTCGAATAATTTCCCTGCAATCATCGAAGGTCTTCCAAACCTTTGACGTAATATGCTCATAGCCTCGTAGTAGCCCTCTTTTGGCTTCATAAACTTACAGCACTGTATAGCTCTTGCAGCATCTCCAGTGCAATACCTCATCAAATACATCAATTTCAATTCATCACTTAATATAAAATTACTCAGCATGATCTCAAACTCCTTTACAAATTGTAAATAATCAGCTGGGTTTCCATCGAAACACAGTGGTTCTAATTTAGGGAGTTTGATGTTCCTATTATCCGTGAACAGCGAAACAGTAACATCAACCATGTCATACTTAACATCAGACACATCGTTACAATTAACAGACAAGTCACCATGACTTACTTTCCTGTTTGCATCCAAGACACTCTGTCCCTTCTTTGACCCAGGCATTGTTGAACTTGACCCAATTCCAAAAACGTTCCAGATATTGCTTGTTCAAAGAGGACTTGACCGGCACCAGGAAAAATGAACGGCGACTATCCAAACTTTCACCAACTTTTTCACCGTCAGAAGCTGTCAGCCACGTCTCGTGAACTGTTAATGTCCAGCTCTTGCTACGCTGGGACTCACGCTGTTCCTTGAAGTTTCTCAGAAACGCTTTGTAATAACGGTCGAAAAAACCAAAACACCGATTGGCCACTCGAGAATTCTTTGTTGTAACACCAACATATAAAAATTGTTATCACTAAGGTTTCTGACGGTTTGTTACTGACTTCTTTCTGAACAGCGACCGATGACACGATGACTTGTATTGATGCCTCCGCGAAAATTGGGGAAGTTGGTTTTGAGCAAACAACCATGAATTGATCGTTCAATCTGCAACTACATTGACAGAAGTTGAACATAGTGAAGACGGATGTGGTGAAGGAACAGCTTCCAGTATGAATTACCGTACTTGAGATGGATTTGCAAGAGTTTATCTCCTGGACTAACCTAGGAAGGATGATTTCAACCACAGACATCGGAACAGATGATGTCAAAGCCAGGCATAGTCAGAAAGGCTGGGTACACTTTCATCAATCTTAAATCGCTTTGGAAATCTTCTGCTCTCGGCCAGCGTAAAGAACAAGATCCTGTTTTTCAAGAGTAATCTTGATCCAGTAAGTAATTCAATATGTGTCAGAATCTCGTCCTGGGAATCATGAACAGAATATCCCACAGCCAGCTACAGACTTATATCAACAGCTGACTTCGCTGACTCAGTACTGAAGGTCAGACGGCCTGGAATGATAACGGCAAATTGGCTTGTAGGAGCAGTGTATTTGGCCAGATGGTGGTTAAGGTGACTATTGTTAACAGGGTTAAGCACTAATCTGGATAACGACAAGTGAGCTGAAATTTCTTTAAATGAATGGGTTAAATGGTGTCAAAACATACTTGAATGGGTGCCCGCTAATATGCATCTAAAATATTTGACTATCCACAGGTGAACGAGTGGTTTATTAGCTTTTAAAGGCTAAGGCTGTTGACGTTCATGGATAGTACGAAGTATACTAATGCAAGATCCTATAGTGTTCGTTCCACGTAGACCAAAGGCAAGGCAAAATAAACACCAGAATTGATCGTCCAAATTACGAGTTATATTTCAGGACCAAATCGGAGTGCGAGATGATGGATTGGCTAGCTAGGGATCGTGCACGAACAAACGAACGCAACACGACAGCGTAGCAAATGGCGTAGACGCTTGACAGGAAGCCTTCAGCTAAGCAAGTTGACTTAAACAGTGAGAGTCAGCATCCGGTGTTCAGTGATGAATGCTGTGGCCAAATAATTCTGGGAATTACCTACCACTACCAGCTAATATTTAGTTATTTTAACTTATTCTATTTATTTAATTTTAGTGGTAGTGTGGTGCCGAGGTGCCCTGCTTCTGCGTCTTACTGGTCAGATGTTCCGAGTAAAAGCCTTTCGATCGTAAAGTTTACTGAGTTTCTCCATTCCTCTCAGACAGGACAAAGAAAGTATAGGTCGTATCCATTTTATCTACACTTAATCGCAAATCGTCTATTAATACTTCCCGTTGAACTTAGGTCAAATTTACTTAGAGTCCTAATAGGTGACCAATCTGTTGTCTAGCTTTCTTGAGCCACATATATTCGTGAAGCCTCTCCTTACTTTATCACAGTCTTGTATGGGTGGAGACCTTATATATCCACGCTGAAAATTCCAAACTTGTACTAAAAAAAGGTGTGAAATCAAGCTGTAATCAAAAAATTTAAAAAAATTTTTACAGAAGTTGGTCATATGGAGTTCTCTAATTCCTTGGAGACATGTTTAAAATAGTCAGAAAATTTGACCCATACATACTTCTGGATAGATTTCAGACTCTTGCAGAAAAAAAAATATGAGTACTATGGATTCACGACGTTCGTCAAAATTTTATATGCGATGCAGGAGTAGTGTTTGTATTCACCTTACTAGGTCGTCGAGCGCAATTTTCAAAAGTTGATCTTCTGAAGTATAAACGATGGACGAATCACAGGTTCCCATGACGGAGTATGAGCAGATCAAGTTTAAGATGAATCAAACGACTGATGAGGTTCGTATTGATGGTTTGATAAGTCCTGATACATGCATTTATTTCGTTTTATGAGGTACAGATACTGCTAATTGCAAGTGGGTATATTGCACATGTTCGTAGTCGGATTCCGGGTTTTTTTTAACGTTTTGTCTCTTGAGATGTCATAGTAGACGTCTTTTTGGAACTTCATTACACTTGGTTAGTTACGCTCAAATTATCGTGTGTCATCCGAAAAAGATAGTGATTGTTATTCTGCCATCGCAGAAATGACATCCATTTGAAATTTAAAGAATTCGCACAAGCATTCGAATATTAGGGAGTATATTAGTTGCCTGATGGTCAACTTTGTAATGCGATTGGAATTGCATGTACAATCAATCAGCAAAGTCAGTCATACTAGGGCTAAGCTGTTGAAGATATTTGATGTATGCAGACAATTTAGGAATTCCTTAGGACTTTCTACTTACTCAGAGTGAGTTTTACTGCTATTAGAGAAATTCTTTCGCTATTTAGTGTTTCATCGGGCGACGTAGACTGTATTTCTGAGCGTTGGTCTCATGCTACAGTAAGGTAATAAGATCTCGCAATTTATGCGGCTTGTGCAAATCTTAGTTTTAAAGACTACTGCCAGTAATATGCGGTGTCTTAATGCTAGTGAAAATAAGAATGCTTGGCAGATGCGGTGGCTTGCTGAGAAACGCTCAAGTTTTTTTTGTTGCATACTTCAGGTGACATTCCTTTTCCTAGTCGGTTGCAGTCGACATGCGTCTCCTTGCACTAGGTACTTGGCATTCATTTACTGAGTCTGCGGTTCAAACCCTACTTCTCTTTATTCTGGACAGCTGAGTGGTACGATAGTCCCCCATTCAGTAAGTTTGGTTGATATTCCGGAGAAGGAAACTGACTGCTAACATTTTGAGAGTGGTGTTTTAGGTGTGTGGTTGTTTTGTCTGTCTGTCTGACATAGAACCTTGCACCGATGTGCAGCAGTTCAAGTCGCCACACCGTGTAGCACGCGAAGCAAGAGAAGAAAGTACAAGGAAAGCATAATAGAGACAGTGAGAAGAGGTGTGAGACAAAGGAGGAGTAATAACGAAGAACAAAAGTTTCATTGGAAATCATAAGTCACAAGGAGTGGATGCATCTGTACCAGCCATTTAGAACGATTTTGAGCCATGTCACCAATTATTTCTAACCATAGATTTTTACCGTCCCGAGGACCCCAGCCTGGAAGTCTACACCTTCCTACGTGGCTTAGACCAACTGTTGTGGATTTCATTGACTGGTGCCAAGTTTTTGTTTGACCGCCGCTAGCTTTTTTCCAGCCTGAACCTATATCCACTAACATTGCTCGTCGAGGGAGGCGATGACTTGGCATACGCAACACATGTCCTAACCATCTCAGTCTTTGTAACTTCACGACTTCGTCGATTGATTTCCCCTCCTTACCTAGAACTCGACGCCTAACCTCAATATTGCTCACCTTATTATGCCACTTCACACGGGAAATAGAGCGCAGGCACCTATGATTATAGACAGTCAGTCTTTTCATGTCTACCACTCTCAGTCGCCGGGTCTCACAACCATAAAGGAGGACGGAGCGGACTGATGAGCAGTACACCCACCTTTTGGTCGATAGTCGAACATCTCGTCTACGCCAGAGTCGGCGTAAACTGGCAAATGCGAAACGATCCCCTGTATTCGTGCTGAGATTTCGTCAGAGATCAACCCTTTGAAGCTGATGGTACTTCTCAAATAAGTGAAGCGGTCAACATGCTCTACCACTTCACTTCCTATTTTTAAACTAGGCGTCGATGTAGTCCAGTCCTGTAACATCATCTTGTCAAACATTCGTAGATTGCGGCTCAAGGTGTTTAGAAGACTCTGCATTTTGTCAGAGTCGTCGCCTAGGAGGACTATATCGTCTGCATATTCTAAGTCAACGAGATTATTCCCTGGTAGCAAGTCAATCCCTGAGTCGCTGAAGTCACTTAGGGTTAAGTCCATTAGTACATCTATGATGCATATCCCATGTAGCACACAAAGCAAGAGAATAAATTAGAAATGTAAAATAAAGACAGTAGACAGGGATATGAGACAAAAGGAAGAGTAATAATGAACAATATAGTTTCACTAGGTATTATAAGTCACAAGGAGTGAATGCAGCTGCGCCACTGAGAACGATTTTGAGCCATGTCGCCGATCATCTCCAGCCAGTGATTTTAACCGTCCCGAGGACTCTAACTAGAAAGTCTACACCTTCCGACGTGGCTTAAACTAACTGTTGTGGATTTCGTTGACTGGTGAAACCATGTTTTGGTTTGAGTGCCTCTAGCCCTTTTTCAGCCTGACCCTATGTCAGCTAACATTGCCCGTCGAGGAAGGCGATGGTGTGGGCAGCCTGGAAGTAGCAACCGCCCACACACTTCCTAAAGCACACGAAGCCATTCTAAGCATCATTCTTCCTCGTTTCCCATAAACTGAGGGTGGTTGTCGATCTAATTTTACATGATGGCACTATTGCGAAATCCTTTCCTATAGTAAATACAACAGCCTAGTCAACAATTCATGAGTACTACTCTCCAGCATCTCTGTTAATCGTGGGTGATCTTTTACCAGTTATTTAAACATCATACATTTGTACTGAAACTTGACAAGTTACGTAACGCTGATAACTTAGTTGTCACCATAGAAAACCAATAAGCTTAAATTATGTAGTTATTTTTAGGTGCTGACGGTGTTTGGTCTTTATTCGGTGACCCAACTTTTGGGTATGCATTTCATGTTCGAATTTAAATTAATTCAGAATTGGAGTGTATAACTTCTTAGTTGAAAGCAGACAGGTTTTAGATGTTTACAGTCCAACTAATTACCTGTTACCGTGAGACGAACGATAGTACACATCATCGACCATTGATATTTATTCTGCAGTTGCTCGTTTGCAGTAACGCTACAATGAGTTGGCTTTAAAGACGAACCTGTATGATTTGGTCGAATGAGTCAGTTTGGGAGTGAGATCTATTTGAATACCATGGCCGTATGCCGTATACCAAGCCACCGCTGTCAGTTATGCGTCCATTGGGAAAAGATTCATCCAAGAGCAAAACTTAGGCAATGTGGTGGAGTATAATCCCACCACAGGTCTAATTTACGCTTAGACAAGGCTATCAGCATTAAATAGTGGAATATATGAAGAGCAGTATCGTTTCGTGTTTTTGATTCATTAGGTAGTACAAAAGAGAATATATTTACTTGGTAAAAACACGGTAATACAGTTTTGTTTACTGATGCCATTCAACGTTCATAATCGTATCAAGAAACTACGTTCATATAATTCCATTATTCCTCATCATCTGACTTCATCAGTGACATTTTCTGTCTCTGGTATGGGTGTTGTTTTATTGCTTACACACTTGTATGGATTCGGTGAACAAACGTCCGGTGATAAATTTATCCCCCCCCCCCCATCTACCTATATTGCTTCATAGAACTGTAGCTTTGTCCCACTTTATGTTGTTGCATGGATTGTGGTTGTTGAGTTTTTCTCTAACTTATTCATTGTCGTGCAGTTAATCATTTATGTTTAACTAAGCTCTCGTAATCCGTAGCTGATCTCGCCGGCATCGCAAGGTCAGTAATATCCCTTAGTCTACAGCCCTTGACCCTAAATGAGGCTTAAATGCTACCATAATCCCTGATTTTTAGGAGTCCTATGTAAGGTCGCAGATTTCCCTTTGAGTGGGGAAAAAGTAGATGCCGTAAATTCTTTCGCATTTATGATACGATCAATAGTTCCACTACTGTTTTTCCTTTTTCGTTTAAGCTCTTTTGATCCTAATTAAGTTTTATGGGATAGTTACTTAACACCAACTCTTCTGCTTGTTTTATTCAGTTATTTGTTTTCTGATAAACTACTTTGAGTTATAACTGAGTTTGCACTTAACAAAGCCTGTCTTCACAGATAATGGGTGGGATGAATTCAAGTCTGAACATTTGTGAGTTCGTTGGATTTTTATAAATGCTAGTGCATATTTTACCTTCTGTTCTGTCAGCCCCATATCTCCACCTCATCTTTGAGATTTGAATAGTTTTTTAGGAGCGATATTTTCCCAACTACCCCTAGTGGGAATCTGCTACAAATGGGGATATTAGTGGTCTCAATGCTACTCTTTCTGTTAGCCTGTTTTTCTGGCATGGAATTTGAAGACAGTAGACATGAGGCAAAATTGAATTCCTAAAGTGATTTCCTCAATGAGTAGCTTTGTCCTACTAGAGAATTCGGAATCAGCAGTTTTTTTCAACTGCCTCCTAATTCATCTTGCCCAGTATTGTAGTGTGGGAACTAGTTACGTTAAAACTAACCACTCTTTCATTACTTATTTAAATGTCATTAAATCTCTTTTTCATTTCGTATGGATTGGTGAAATTGGAGTTTGAGAGATTTTTGAATGGTACATAATATTATTGCTGTGTTTGGATAACATGCGTAGGGGCACTTCTGAAATCTACTTACTGTCTTATAGGATACCTTGATTTATGTATCTTAGTAGTACATATATTTTACTGACATTGCTGCTTTCAGACATTAAGTTAAACCATATTGAATACTTACCCAGTGACGGCCTCATTCTGTAGGCTGAATATTCTGTAGACTTCTCAATCATGTCTACAGTTTTCTTAATTTCACCATATGAATCTGTTATAATGTGTTCATTGACTCCCGTGACATAATCCGATACATTCATAACTTTTTGGTTGGCCTTATCAGCTTTTACAGTGACTGTTTTTATCGTTTTTGAGATTCATTAAAGCTGATTTCTTTGGAACCATTCTCCCTTTAGAACTTAGTTCTCGCTGAATTTGGTCACTCATTTTGTTCTCTCTGCAGTCGATAAGACTTCGTTGTTAACTTTCTCGTTATCTGTGCTATTCTTTCCTCCCATCAGTTTATTAGATTTCTTATAGTGTTTAACATTTCTCTGGCTTTCTTGGGTGTTTCAACTAGGATTTCATAATCTTTGTCATTTAAGTTTTCCAGTTTCATTTGGGTTGTTTCCTTATAATTCCATGGGATTCTCTCGGACATATTCTGCTATGTTTACCTTATTTTGTTATTTTGTCCTTTTGTAATTGCAATACGTAGGCGTAGGTGTTTGGGAATTAAGTGATTTTTGAAACATCGAATGTGTCAAATGCGTGTAATCCTGCTTCAGTTTGACAAAGTCGTAAGTTTATTGACAAATTTCATAGTAGAAAGATCATAAGTTCGACTTATATAAGAATAGAACTTGGACATTGTGGTAGAGTTAAATTCCATCATGGAATAAATTTATTTGAGAAAAGTACTGCGATACAGCATTATTTACTGCGCACAATTTATTGCTCGTAATTTAATCAAAGCACGGGAAGTTTGAAAAGTTTCACATTTTAACGTTAACCATTTTCATTTCTTGTACCTGCATATGATGCAAGTACACGACTAGAACAAGCAAAATCATTGTATTTTTAAAATCTCTTATTAATTGTCATTTCTGAATGGAGACGGTTATTTGCAAATATGATTTTTTTAAAACTTGTGCTTATAATTTTAATAGTAGTATAAATTTTCAAACTGAAATATGTCTTTCTTATGTGTCCGTCGTTCGTAAATTTTTGCTTAACCAATCACAATTCAATTTCTCGTGGGAAGATATTTAGCTCTCATATGTTAGGATGAGTATCAGTAGTTTTATTTTCTTACATGGATTGGAACATTGGTTGATCTAAACAGATTTGTGCTCTTTTAATGGGTTATGAACTAACGTGAACACAGTTCTCAGGCTTCTATCATACAACTGATGATTCTAGTCTACCTTCACTATAATTATGTAATTTTTACCGAGAGGATATTAGCATATATTTAATTTGGATGTATTAACAAAGAGATGCCACGGAAATCTCGTCAGCCTACTTGTGGATATGATGAGGTGCAGCTGGATGATGAAACTACTAGACCGATGACAGAAGTGGAACTGCTGCAAAAAAAGATCGATGAAACAACTTCAGATGTAGGTATTGGATACCTAGTGTTTTATGAATTCTATTTTATAATGTAATCGTGTATTATGACTTGATGTTGATTATTATAAGAAGGCATTCGGTTATGTGCAAATATATACCTGGTTTTACTTGAAGTGTCCTTAATTCTTTTGCAGAAATTTCATAATTGTTAGGACGGCATATAGGTGGTTTGAATACATGTACAGTGTAAATAATATTTTTTGGTGACTACACGTTTGCACATTTGGTTTAATAATGTAGCAAAAAAATAATAGCTTATCTCTACTAATTACTGTTTTGAACATCTTTTTTAGTCGTTGGAGGCTTCTCGGCGGATGATGGCTTTATGTGAAGAGGTGAGTATTCACACAATTGATAAATAGTTACTGTTAAAAATTTAAAACTGATATGATAAGTATTTGCGTAATATTTAGGCTAAAGAGGCAGGGATTTCAACATTGGTTATGCTAGATGACCAGGGCGGTAAGCCTAAATGTAGTGATGAGTAAATTTTGTGTTGTTTAAGTGTTGTTCATTTTCGATGCATATTTCACCTAAGTAACAACCATGTGTTGTACCTCATTGTGTGAAGTAGGAATGCTGTAAAAACATCAACGTGAATTCGCATGTAGTTGTAGTAGTATATTTTAGTTGTTGTGAATTTAAACTTATCATCCTCAGCATTTCGAGTTGGTATTGCTGTTTCACCAGATCTTTTTCATACTTATATTTTAAATGTTGGTTTGCACGATGTTTATAAATACCAGAGACTCATGGATTGGTGTCTGAAATAATCTTTCAGAACAACTGGATCGCATCAATGAGGGCATGGATCAAATCAATCAAGATATGAAGGATGCTGAGAAGAATTTGGATGACCTAAACAAATGTTGTGGACTTTGTGTATTGCCCTGGAATAAGTGAGATCTGTTTTTGTTTTTAGTCTGAAAATTTTCCATCATTCTTGTGATTTGTATATGTTTGAGGGAAATGTTATTTACAGTGTTCATTTGTGTAAACATTTAGTGTTGGGTAAGTTGATCGTGGGTTTGAGTACCTTTCCACCCACTGCTTGCGCGACTGGATAATGTCTTAAGCCTCTAAATAACAAGTGTGGCTCATAATCTGTTACATAAAAAATCTGTCCCAGGTGACTTAGTCGTACCTTAAAGTGTAGCTAATTGCCATAAGTTGTTTTTTGGACCCATTGGGCTGACTTTGAGACCAGTTGATATACAAGAGTTGGGGGTATATCTAATGTTAAAAGTCGGTATTTGCAGAATTCAGACGACAGAGTAGTATCACTGTATTTGCTGCTTTTCTATTTCACTAATTGTGTTGTGTATATACCAGCTTTTGGAATATTTTGGCACCTAGACTGTAACGAAGGTTAATGCGTAAAATTGCGTTCGCAGATTTGTTATACGAATAAGTCCCGTTTTCCAAAACGTGATGCATGATATGCTTAGTTACATGTTAGCCAATATTATTCCTATTTATTTAATTGTGTGAAGTTTCGTTTTCAGTTTAGTAGTTTTTTATGCTTAGTAAATTTTCTGTATAAATCCCCCTCTTAGTTTCACCAACTCTTCTATTATGGGGTTTCCCTGGGTTCTAATCATAGTTCTTTACTGGTTCACCCAGTTATTCGATTTTAAATATATACGCAAAAGGTTCTGAATGGTGGCTTAACTGTATATGGCAAAAGGTTGGAAATCATTGACCACCGTAGTCCTACCCTCCCTTTAACCTGACGGTCCTGGCCTTAATCTTCCTTTTTCCCACGGGACCTAAAAGGCGCAGATTGTTCTCTAATGCTGTTTCAGTCATATTATCTAAATTACTGAAATTTTATATGATGGACGCATTTTTCTGTTCGTTATAGCATTACTATCTCCCATTACTTCTCGATTAACTCTATTGGCGTTATTCATCATCTCGAATTGTTCAACTGATTTTGTCAAGAGTCATTGTTTTGCTTCTGCTTGTATACTTTTTGATTGGAGTGAGAATTTAATACAGTCTCATATATTCTTTTTACGGCCATTGGTATATGGAGCAGTCAGGAGGTATTAGGTAGCGTTTACCATTTTATGACTGAACACGTTAGTTCTCTTATGTACTTTGAAAGACTTGTCTGCTATGGTATTTTATTGCTTATTTGCCTACTTCAGGTTTTGGCATGTTAAGAAAAATTGATGACTGAGCAGTCCACCGGACATTTAAAGCAAACAACTGTTTTTATAACGTTTTAAACCTTAACTTTTTTTAAATGATCTAGAAGCTATCAATTCTATACGTTTGTGCAGGGTGAAGAAAAAGGATGACTACACCAAACAACTAAAGGATGAGGACATGCGTGGCGGAGACGGACCTCGTATAATTGTGGACCAAAATGGAATGGGTCCAACTGGCGGTTACATTACTCGGTAAGTTCCTGATCTTTTGCTTACATTTAAAAGTTTGAAATTCATTCAGATCTAACAGATTAATGCGGTGGTGGAAATCTCTGTTTTAATCCATGTTTGCTCAAAGTATGATAGAGAAACAGTCCAGTCATCACTAAGTCCTACAGAATAGTGTTATTCTGTCCTCTAGTTTTGTCATTTTCAGTAGTCTACTACACTATCTATTAAAATGTTGACTTGTGCTTGCCACACGGTAAACAGTTATTTCGGCCATAAAAATCAAACTTTATCCTTTATTATGCAATTTAACTGCTTAAGTACCTTGAGGTTTTTCCAGTAATATCAAGTAATTACGCCTTATTATTTCATCTAGCTACAGCTGAGTAGTCGACTATGTACTTGCAATAAAAATTGTTAAGAAAATCTACTTTCACAGTTGCTACTTTTATATCAAAATGACGGTTGTAGCAAAGAATATTTTTCCTTTCGACTAAGTCATTAGCTAGGTTGTGTACATTCGTGTATTTATAGTAAATGTGTGAAAGTTCCAGAATTATTTCCGATGAAAGGTCAAATCAGTAAAATTACAAGGTGATAATCAAGAAGATCAGGTAGAAAAGGCATAATAAGATAATAATTACAGAAAATCTTGACTGTTTGTAAAATAACGAATTAATGATGTAGTAACAACAGAATATCAGTTAGAGAACCATTGAAAACCAGGGAGTACTGGACAGCTGCTGTTTCATCCTAGTTCGGGAATCATCGGCAGTACGCACCCACCACCAGGGTTCGAACCCAGGACCTTCCGCTTACAAGGCAAGCTCGTATACCATTCAGCCACTGGGACCCGGTTCAATGGCTCATGAATTCTAACTTCTACCAATTTGTGATTTAGCGCGACCCCAACCATTGTCGTTGGTGGGACATCCATCGTAAGGACATAACTAACCCTTGCAAATCAAACTACAGAAAATAACAATAGAAAGTTAGGATATAAATGTTGCAGATACATTCACTCCATGTAATCTCTCAATTTTCTAAGTCCTCATGTTTTTTTTGTTATTGTTCTTTCTCCTGTACATTTCTTCCCATTGTGGCTGTTTCAAATTTCCTCTTTTGTGTGCTAAACGGACCGTTTCAACCCTAACTACTGCACTTCTACGCTTAAACAATCAATTTCTCAGCTGCTTGTTCTAAATTAAGGAATTATTTGATATCTGTAGATAAGAAAAAAGCAAAAATTTGAGCAAATGTACTTCATGTGACCTGTATTACCAATGTATCATAATTTTTTACCCTCAGAGAGGATAGGTCTGGTGATAGTAGGGAAAGTTACTCTTCCCATTCTGCATTAGGTCTTATTAATTTGTGATCAGTTGACGTAGTGTGTTGTTGTTTGTTTGAATATTGTCTTAGTATAAACGAGTTGTAAAGCAACACTTAGCGTCCTATCGGGACAATGTTCATGTTGGGTGTCTGGAATCTTTAAGACCTTATTTCGGGTCTTCTACCATAAGCTTTATCGTGGTATTTTTATTTTTCAGTTTTTTTCTTTCATACGTTGTTATCCTTGTTTAAGGTGAAGAAAAACGTAAATAGTTAGGTTTGTTACACATGAATTCACTGTATGGGGGATGGCACCAATTTGACAGGATGAATTGTTTATGGTTATGTGGTAAACAAGTAAAAATACGCTTGATATACCACCTCTGACTTATTATTAACAAACGTGCGCGTATTATCCGTGATAAGTTTGTTCATTCTAGAATAGAGATCAGTTGATTATAGTTGTATTTCAGTGATTGTTTACATACCAGTGCTAAGTTTTCGGTGTGGATAATATTTCGAGCAAAATCAAAAAATATATCAGTGTGCAAACAACCGTTAAAATATAATTATAGTTAATTGGTGTACAAAGTATTTTACTTAGAAGGCTGAGAGCGATTTGGTGCTATCAACTTGAGTCCAATAAAATCAAGATTATTTTACTTTTAGCATAACAAATGACGCTCGAGAGGATGAAATGGATCAAAATTTACAAGAAGTTTCCGGTATGATAGGGAATCTGCGTAATATGGCTATCGATATGGGTAGTGAAATAAACCAGCAAAATGTGCAAATTGAACGAATACAAATCAAGGTAGGTGTTTGTCTTTTGATGTATTTGTTTTCTAATTCACATAGAGAACTTTTTCGGAAAGTTTGTCACTTAGAATTTTAATTTGAAGTGAATTTCTTAGACTTATAGACTGTGTCCATAATCCTCACATGGGCTTTTAGACCTTGTAGGTGGTAAATATCTGTTAACAATATTTTTTTGTAGCTCTTAAAAATACACGGAAAGAATTCTTGATCAATCAAGTATGTATTAACGTATGAGTAATATGATAGATGAGATATTTCCCACTAATAATTGTCCGTCTCACACTTTTGAGGTTGAAATGTGGAGCATTTTTGAGTTTTTACTTCAAAATAGAAGTGTAACCAGCAAGATGATTATCGAAGACATGCATGGAACGAAAACAAGGTGAAGCTTAAGACATTTAAAATTTTAAATGTGGAATACATATATGTTATTTCAGTTGTTTTCAAGTAATGTTGTATTGAATTTTGAGGTACTATTTTTATTTTCCCATAGTTCTCGTGGGGAAATCTTGGTGTTCTTAATATGACTGAAATTAGTAGTTAGCGATTTCACTCGGCGGTAATTAATTCCTAGGTTACATTCTATGTATACACGACTATATTCAGATAGATTTTAGACAAATGTTAAAGTTGACTCAAATTATGAATACTCACCATTTTATTTCGTTATCTAATCAGTGTATTTCATTTCTTATGCGTAAATCTTATCACCTTATTTCATTACAGGCAAAGTCGAATGCTGAACGAATCAAAAAGGCCAATGAACAAGCTAGTAAACTGTTAAAGTAAATTTGGAGAACTTTTAAGATTTCTTCATTATTATTCACTGCTGGGGAAGAACTGCATCTCTATTACTTTGCTCCAAATTAAATCATTCCCATGAGTATTAACATGTGTCCAAAAAGTGAAGTTGGTTGTTACCTGTCATGCATCATCAAACCGCTAATGTCTATTTATATATTATTTAAATGCTTATTACAAGATAATCAAGAAACGATTATTCCAAAACTTATGAGCTTTACATTATCAAGATAACGTTCCATCTCTTCGAATCAGTTCACCACTTTAATTAATTTTATTACCCCCCCCCTCATTCATTGTTTTTCTCTTGTTTACTTGTTCATATTTTTTTGAATTCTCTCGTTTTGTACAATTATATTATAACTTTCCTCTTCTGTTGAAAACAGCCTTAATCTAATCAACTATAACTGAATATCTATCTGTCTAATAATTTACAACCAATTTTAATCATTACTTCACTCATCGTTATTTTGGTTCCGCTCATAGTTTTTATTTCATAATGTATTTTTCAGCTGCATAATATTGTGTTTCAGTGAATGCTATTTGTTATTTAAGACGACAAAATTTGTCGTCTTCATGCTTATCGAGGTTGTTTATTTTTTTTAATCATATTTTTCTCATAGTATTATTTATAAACATTATTGATCAATGCTACATACACTACGATAAAAAGAAACTTGGTGATCTGTCAAATAGCTGTATTGACAACATATTCGGTTTTATTATTCTTGCCATTTCAAAAATGACATTTTAATTTTGAGTCAGAAATTATCAGATGTGAGATTTAATAGTCGATTGATAATTTTATTTTCTTCGCTTTCGTGATATTACAACATACTACTACTACTTCCTTATAACCGATGACATTTTTCACCTTGTTTTTGAGTTGGATACACTGTTGTTTATTTCTTAGATGTATATTTCCTAAATTATGCTGTTTATCTATCACATTCAATTCCTAGATTGCTTTCAGACTGTTGTTTTGCTTTCGGAAACGAAGGTGATCGGTATCAGTATTTATCTATCAGAGTGAAAAGTGGACTCTTGTAAATAATCTTTTTGTGTAAGAAAAGAATTGATTAGCTTACACAATAGCTTCTAGCTGAACACATTGCGCGGTCACGACAAAGTAACTTTGTTTCCTTAGTGTCGTGGTTCAGCAAATGAATTACTTCATAATAGCACAAAACCGATGTATTTGGGGAGCCTGAAATGATGATTTGACTCGGTGGTGACGGACTTTTCAATCAATAAATAGGTTTTCGGATCTTAAGGTACCAGCGAATAGTATGAGGCTTCTCTACCTGTATATGCTCTAATGATTTTCAAATTAAGACGCTATCGACTACAAAATTCTGGTTGCTAGCATTTTATGTGAGTGTTTATTAAAAATTGGCGTACCTCTGAAGTTTAGCTTTCAACAGGTACGTTCTATGCACTACAAGTTAATAATGTATATGCGTGGGATTGCTCAAGTATGCGAGTCCATTTCTGTTCGATTAATATAATTTAGTTTCGATGGTAGTACGTATACAGACTAACTCCTCATTGTGGAGATCCTAGATTACTTATCAAACTATCAAATATGGCAGTAGCTTGTATCATGCTTCCCATCGCTGCATTCTGCTAGTATTCTTGGAGTTTGCAATTTGTATACACATTTAAGCTATTCACAATTACAGGGACCCTGGTGTGCTTAGCCTTAAGGTTAACTATGTTTTGATCAGTGTAGTGAGTACTCCATAGTTTTATAACAGTAAGGAGGCGAGGTCAAGGATAAAATATATTGTTTCAAGAAGTGGGCATAAAATAATCATCTATAGTTTTCTTTTGACTTATTTCTCAGATGGCAAAACTTCGGATAGTATGACAAGTCTCGGTTATAAATATTCATTGAGGCACACGAACAGTTATTTAACTGTTAATGGGGGGGGGGTAATTCTTATTGTGAATTCGGTTATGAACATAACATAACATAAGCTTTATTCCAAATCAGTACTTGTGATACAGAATGGAATTCTCAGCATTTTACTACAATATTGCATCCAGTTTTTTTTTACATTAACAATAAATAAAGTTCTACATAGATTAAAGTTATCTCAACAACATATTAGTATGTCGGTAGTAAAGCCAAAATTAAAGTGTCTGAAGGTGTTAGAAAAGTAGATACCACACTGGATATGTTTGCACTTATGTTACGAGGCAACCCGAGGATGTGAAGCTTGGATCGGCCAACAGGAAAGTTTCTCGAGAGCACTAGGCAGCCTCACTGTCGATGTTCGTTGCATCCTAGTGACCGCCTACAATATCTCAGTGAACTGCTTTGGATAGCATCTGTCAGCGCGTGAAGTACATTCCATTTGCGTTTATGTTAGGACGTTGTCGCATGGACACTCGCCTTAGGCATGTTACTTGACTGAAATCCTTATTAGCAATGGCGTATCTTTCGTTAGGTTACAAGTTTTTATAAAAGTAGGAGGCAACTAACCGGAAGAGTGTTGTCTTCTTGTCATCCCTTTTTAGGTACTGATAAATTACATCCGAAATGCAATTAAGGATGAGTTCTATCAATGGCTGGATTATTCGGTTAGTACTGAGATTCTTCATTCGGTCGGTGGTAATCTAAATTTACCATCATCTTTCTTTTATAGTGCTATTTATACTGTCTAAATCGATTTCCTGGTTCTTAGATTATTTTCTAGAGTCTTGACTATAAAGAAAGTCGGCTTTTCAAGTATGGTCTACTGGTAAACTAGAACAAGAGAAGGTATTTGATTTAACGAAAATAAACATTTTATCGGAAGTTTATCAGTGTGATATGTACTGAATCTATAGCACCTAAACTTGTTATCCCTGCAATGAGTCATGATTAGCAAATGACAGTTCATCTTATAATTCAATCGTCATCTAGTGGGAGTTAACTTTTTCTGGATCCAGAGGATGAAATCTTGTTGTGTGGTCTGATCCAGTGTGTTATGTTTTTTATTTATTGAAATCAGATATATTAGAAGGTAACTAGTATATTTTTATCAACATCAAGATAGGTGGAAAGTGGGAAGTGAAAGTATGATAGTAATTGTGTGTGCGTGTAATGGTGTTCTGAATAAGATCACGCGTTATACGTGTACTTTGAGATATTAAGTTCCTATAAAAGCTTACAAAGAGGTATTATAGAAACAGTGTAGTCTCTATAGAAATCAAACAGGTTTAGAAATAACCTGAATAGTCTTAATTACTTTAGGCGTGATAATTAGAAGTAACAGGAAATCTTGATTAAAACAGGATTTGCTTTATTCTTGATTTCACAACAATTATTATTTTTCAGCATGAACTCTTTAGTTAGTTTCCTGAGGAAACACTATGATATGAACTCATTCAATTCTGTGTGTAAAATTGTGAGTTTTGTGTATGTCATCAAAACAGCATGATCATATAATTAACTTTTAAGTTTATCATTAGAGAAAATGAAATATTTTGATATAGATTCCGAATGTTCGGAGATTAGGGCGGAATTCAAACCTACAGACTAGTTTGTAAATACCTTTTTGCTGGCTTAGAAAGTATATTCAGTCATCATCACCGAATCAGTTGACTCCAGTTAAAGAAAAAAGTGGCCTCGTTTCAGTTGGTGACTGATGGATAGTGAAATCCAGGAGGCACATTTCGTCCTATTTGGAACTCGTCACTCAATCTATATGCACCTCATTGGGTGACAGTGTTTTAACTCTGGGTTACAGGTACATCCAGATGGTGAGTATAGGATAGGAGAAAATGCACATCCTGGATTCTCCTGTTGTCATTATCCAAAATAATATCGTGTTAATCTCCTGATATCTTCGAAGTATTCGTATTAGGAGACCACATGTCATCAGAGACCGAACATTTCACTTCAACAATGGTTAACGAGAAATGCGAATTAACTTGAAAACAATAAGAAGAGCGACCGCATTAAAATTTAAAATCCACACATATTGCTAACGTGTTACCTTTATTTGACTTCTTGGTAATTTAGCGATACTAATTTACCCAGCAGGTGTTAGGATGTTTTTAAATTTTAGTGTACTTTAATGTATTTCACAAAAAAGTACGTCCTGTGTTCATTGGCTGAAGACAACATTTATGACCTTGATGCATACTAGATCAGTATGTAAGAGAATTTCGATAAAGAAAGGAAGACGAAATTTGCAGTACAAAATGATATCATTCTATTTCAAAAGTTCTCATCAGCTGCAGATTACCTGAAACTACAATGGTTAGATACATGATAATAACATACTTTAATGTTTGAGTGGTAGTAGAGAAGGGATACTATAAAATTGACGCATCCAAAATGAAAGCATTACAATTTTTAGTTCAAGTTTTCGTTATCGATTTATACGGTTTTAAAGTTGGAAAGAGGGGTAAGGGGTGAGACAGAAGACGGAAAAAACGGATTAACAGAACAGTGTTAGCTTGTAGGTTCACATAGCAACTCAAAAAACAAAAGCGGCTACAATTTATAAGATTAAGATTTGTTCAGTGAGTTGAGATCACTGAATTTAGATGACTAATTATTGTAATCAAAATCAAAATTCAGTTACCAAGAGAGTGAGAGGTTAATCACATTCTCTTTCTGTATGCATAAGCCTGGTTTAAATTGTTTGATTGCGATCAATTCGGCAAATCGTAGTAAATATGCTGTCTTTAGTCTATTTAATATTTTGAAGGACTTAGAAATCTCTACGAGATATCCGGTATTAACAATATGTCTGGTAATTGCACTTTGAGAATAACTGCTTCCTTGCAGGCACAGGTTTCTCGAAATATGTTCAGAAAACCGGATAGAAGCCCTTCTTTCAGTCCTTCCAATGTACTTGCTCCTGCAAGTGCAGTTGGAGGTGACATCAGCAGGGTATTTATCCAGTTTTGAGTGGATTATAGAGGAGTGGTGCTGTATACTGTTATGAGTTTTGCTGCCGGGAAGCTTCTGTCTATTGCACCTTTCAGTC